GTTGATGTGAGAAAATTAATTAAAGATTGATTTTAAGACTTTTAGGGCCGTTAAATCCAACAAGTTTAATTGGAGAAATTTAGAAGTTAAACGTTTTTAAATGCTTTCATAAATTTTAAAGTCATATAACATTGTCTATGTTCAAAAATTTGATACAAATGTTTAGTCTTATAACTTAGATAATTATTTACTATAAACACCAAATTTATATAATATTAAATACAAAAATAATCAGTAAGTAGAAATCATTAATTTTAATTTTTAAAATCCACGCAACGCGTGGACAATCCCTAGTACAATAATATAGTAAGGTTTCTCTAAATTGAAGTTATGAGAAGTTGCCATGTGTCACCTACTATTTTGACATGTGTCTTTTTAATTTATATACTTAAGCAAAAAAAAATTAAAAATTATTTGTTCTTTTTACTCTTTCTAATAATTTTGACAATTAATTCTGACAATTTAATAGCTACATTTTTTTTGTCACGAACACACTTCATTATCGATTAAACAAATACATAATATGTATCAATAAACAATAGCTACGTTTAATGTTAATTAAGTCTAATAAGTTATAATATATATTAGCCATTGTCCTTTTTTTTTATACCCACACAAAATTATGATTCTAAATTAAATGTGTTATTGTAAAATTTTAACTATTTGGAAAACAATTTTTTTATTTATTGAACCAAATAATAATATTAAAAATATAAGATTTTAAAGGTTTTTTCTCTAAACTTAATAAAACACCAAAAAAAATTAGTGCAATAATTTTTTTTTGTGCCGGAGAAAGTAATGATATTAACCAAGAATGTTGAAAGAAAATCATACTCTACCACAAATTATAAATCTAATTTTTTTTAATTACTATTCCTTCTGTATTGTAATTACGATGGGAAAAACAAATTCACTTCACCAATAAATCGATGTGGAAGATTAAAATCGCAGTAAAATGATCAAAAGAGACACAAAAATACAATCAAGCGATAATTATTCTCTCTTTACGATTCAAGGTTCGAATGAAATAAACATAGAGATGCATTCCAACATCTTTGTTGAGATGATGTCGATGTGTCAGTAGAATTCAAGTGTACTACAACTTGTCCGATCAATAAATACAAACGTGTTTGATGAAATAAAAAAGAAGACAAACATATTTCTTAATACATTTGTATTAACTCACATAATATCAATAATTTGCTACAAATGCGTAGTATTCAAACTTAGATAATTATTAACTATAAACACGGAAAATAATCAATAAGATAAAATCATTGCATATTTTACCATGTTAATTTATAAATTCACGCAACGCGTGGGCAATCTCCATATTACAATATATCATGGTTTTATTCAAGTGTGAAAAACTCATCCTTTAAGGGAGCATATCCCTTATTCCTCCGCATGAGAAATGTAACGTCCGTGAACCAAAAAGTGAATTTTTGGTTGGTGTGTCGTTCGACACAGGGTGAGTGTGTCGATCGACACACGTGTTTTGGACTTGTGAGAAGTCGTGTTCTGGGCGTTGCATCGATCAACACAAAGGGTGTGTGTCGATCGACATGGGTTGATTTTGAATCGACATGTTCGATTTTAAATTGTCCGGTTCGCGTAGTTGGTTAGGGAAAACCCTATGTGGCAGTATAAAAAGGGAGCAAAAGTGTTTAGGCTGCGTTTTTGGGCAGAAAACACTCAGAAATCAAATTGGAGAGAGATGATTTTCCTGGGTTGTGAGAGAGAAGAAGAGAATGTTATTTTGGAGAGAGTTCTGGCTGTTCTAGAAGAGTAGAGAAACGAATAGTCTAATCAGATCGGATTGGAGTGAAACTTCTAGGATAAGTTCTCCACTCTCGTATCTAGCTTTGGACAAAATCGGTTTGTCATTTGGATTAGTATTCTGAGAGTTATGGTTGTTTTTCCGAGAGAGATTCGTGCAGAATTGGATCTGCGATCAGTCCACTTCGTGGGAGTTTTCCTGTCGAACCAGAAGGAATTAGGAGGCGATCTATATAGGTTAGAAAGGTCTCGGTCTCACGATTCCAGATCGTGTTTCTGATCATGATTCCGAGATACTCTGCGTTCTCAGCATGTTTTCGAAGTCGGCTGATTGTTTATGTTTTCATGAACCCTAATCCGGTTTAGGGGAAATTCCAA